GGATCAGCAAGACAGTAAAGCAGTAATCAAAGGTAGAAGAAAGAGAAGCAGATAGAAGAGAGGCTAAGAAAGAGGGGAGAATCTCTGAAAGTAATAAGCTTCATTAAAACTGGAAAACTGAGAAAGGCATGAACAGAATGCAAAGTGCTGTGAGATTTCTGGCTATCTTTCTAATGACAGCTGGAATGAAAGCCTGAAAGCCACACGTCAGAGCACAGTAAAATGAAATTTATTGAAGAGAAGATGAACATAGTGTAAGCATATAGACATACATCTAAATGCAGAAGACATGGTGCTGAAACAAGGGCAGAAAAAGTGAAAATGAAATGGTGAAGATGTGGGCAGCGGCTAGGAGGAGATGGGATTAAGAGAATAAGATGGTTAGCTGAAGAAAGCAGAGCAAATATTTTCAGTTGAATGCAGTCCAAGCCCATATATCAGGATAATGGGAAATTTGAGATCCCCTGATTTGTTCCATTCTGTCATAGTCTTGTAGCTTTACATTTGACTGTCCCCTATGGAAAGAGTCACCCCGTTGTAATGCCATACCTTATTTTCACGATTTGGGCTATAGTTGAAATATAGAGTGACTCACCAACAGTATTTCAGCCGAGTGAACACAATGATTCTAATAACTGTCTGCTAATTAGCAGGTTTTTGAAATAGAGAGAGTTGAATAGCCTGCATCCTCTCACACCCCAAATTAATAACGCTCCAGTAGCAAATAATAAAGTGGTAGAGACTGGCATTATTACTTTTTGGTACAGTACAAAATAGATGAAAATTAATCTGGCTTGTTTATCTACATGGCCTAGACCGTTTCAAAATGTTGAAGATCTCTGCCTTGGCTTTAATATACAACACCCTAGAGAGCTCTTTATAAAGCTAGAGGAACTGCTCCTAAAGCAAGATTCAAACATTTCTAGATTACAATTTTATGAATAAAATTAATTAACCAACAATTCATTACATTCTAAAAGCTTCATCTGACCATAATAATCCTTGTTTGCAGCCCAAACAGTATTTGGTAATTGCAGAATGATGGAGCAATGTGGGTATTTTTTGATTACAGTTCATTACATAAGATTACAAGGAAGAATTTGTCTTTGAATCATAATGAAAACTTAATTGACATCACTACGCTAAAATATTTCCAATGATTACGTTTCAGTCTGTGTCTTAATTAGTTTTATATTAGAAAGAGATTTTAACAAGATAATGCTGTGAACATAATTTCATTGCATTGTAAAACCTTTGGCTGGATCTCACAAGTAATTAAAGCTCCAGCCATCTTGGAAATTTGACGCAAAGGCAATTCCAATTTTAATATTCTTTAAGATCATACAGTGTCAAGTTTCTTTTATTTTTCTCTACTGCCTGTAATCAAATTTAAGCTTTTCCCTCCTCCCCCTATAAATAGTCTAAAATTTATACTTGCAAGATAATTTCAGGAGGGATAAATGTCAGACACCAGAATCATGCCTCAGGACATAAGTTAAACTTAAGCAAAAACACGGGTAATATTACAAAATGCAGTTACTTTTCTATGCAATGATTCCCAAAGACTGCTCTCTTGGATCTTTCACTCTAGCCAGAGGTGCTCACTGCTGAGGCTGAACGTGCTTAGAGCTCATTCACATACAGAGCAGTCTTCACGTAGGCTGCAGCCTCGTCCAATACGGCATTTCTACCATGAGCTCACATTTATTTCAGAGGCCTTTCTCACCACTGCACTTCATAAAATAACAGACAGATACTCTCTTGTGGAGATAACAGGATGTATCGCATGGCTACTGTGCAATAGCACGTTTTGAATTAAAACACCCGGAGGGAAGGACATAGAGCCACTCTCTCAGAAAACGCCGTGCAGTTGTGATTCAACCTGCCCAATGATAAACAACTACTACTCCACTTTCAGCTGAACTCCTTCTGACATTTATGAAGATCAGCTTGAATCACCAGTAACTCATCAAATCACTGAACTGGTTGTCATTTAAAGGGTCCAGCTGGCTTCTATGCTAGAGGGACAGTCAACAGAAGTGCAAAATTCAGGCTCCTGTTGAACAGCTAATTCCCAAACAAGGAAGCAAGAAATTAAGAACGGTCTGAGGGGAAAAAAAAAAAAAAGTTACTTGCATTACATTGCATGGTTCACTAAAATTTAATGTCTTGTGTTAAAACCCATCATAATTGTTGATAAAATGATTAAAACCATGCAGCCACAATATTTTGATCCAGATTTCAAACAATATAACTGTGGATTCACAATCTTGGTACAGGCTTATTTCTTACTACAAGCAATAAGAAACACAAACTACAAACCAATGGAATACATTTTGCTCATTACCTCATTAAAATCTGCCATTTGCAAGAGTGTTCTGAAATTTTTTCTCTGAAAAAGCTGTTTTAACTGAGTTCGTGAAAAATGGTTAAAAAACCCTTGCATTTGTGCCAATAAGGAAAAATCAGAAGAATAAAAAGATACTGCAGAGGAAAAGTTGCTATTCTACATGACTTCTGGATTCCACAACAGAGACAATTTTCTGAACACAATTATCCTGTGTGTGCTAAAATACTTTTATAGACTTATCAGACTAAACAGAAGGCAAGCTCACAGCACTCCCTGCAAGGCCGCAGATACTTATATGGAGTTAAGGTTGGGAATACATATGGTTTATGTGACACATAGATTTTATGTGATATAAAATATATATATATAAAAATATATATTTTATCATTTTACATATGGTAAATTTTTTTCCTATTGTACATATATGTATACACACACACACACATAAAATGGATCTTACAATAATTTCTAGAATCAAGAAATACAGGGAATGCAAATTTAAAACGTATTTACAAGAAATCTATACATATGTAAACAGAGTTATGGCCTAATGAATTTTCTCTTTGCTGCAGAACAGCCCAGCTCCTGTCTGAATGTCAAAGAACATCCCCTGCACTGAACAGCATGATGACAATTTTCTGTGTCTACGTGACATCAAGAAGTATGGAGAAATGCATGTGTGTTGGCAATAAATTAGGGTAGCGTATTAATTGTTTTTCCTCCCAAGTATCAATTGCATGAGAGTCTTGAATACTAACTTGTTGAGGATAACAGGAATAAAACAGTGAAATACAGACACCATGTATATTAAAAAGTTTATTTTTTTCATTAAAAATATTTACACATAGTTTTGTTTATGTATAGTCATAAATGTAAGTTTAAAACTCAAGTTTAAACATCGGGATTTCAAGAACACAAATTTATTGACTTCAAAATTAGCATCAAATTACCTAGCTCACCTTTCCCTGAAACTCTCAGAAGTCATTTTACAATAAGCCGAGCTGATAACAGCTACGCATTTCCAACAGAAGCAGTCCCACCTGCACGGGGCTCTTCCTCCGTCTTCCATGTGGAAGCTGTTTTGCCTTGAACTACACTACTGCTTGTCTAACCCTTCAGTCACCAGGCCAGGGCGCTGAACTAGTGAAAACCGGTGTTGTGGCTTAGCCCAGCCCGCAGCCAAGCTCCCATGCAGCCGCTCACTTACTCTTCCCCTACGGTGGGGTGGAGAGGAGAAAAATGAAACAAAAGGCCTGAGGGTGGAGATAAAAACAGGAAGAGATCACCCACCAGATCTTAAAAACACCTTTTAGTGGTTGGGGAGACCCCAGGGAATGGGGTTGCAGGTCAGTTTGTCAGACATTGTTTCTGCTGCTCCTTCTTCCTCAAGGAGAGGACTCCTCGCACTCCTCCCCTGCTCCAACGTGGGGCCCTTTCCCACAGAAGGCAGCTCTCCATGAACTTCTCTGACGTGAGTCTTTCCTGCAGGATGCAATCCTTACCCATCAGACTGCTCCAGTGCGGGCTTTTCCCACAGAGTCACAGCTTCTTAGGGCACAGACGCCTGCGCCAGCGTGGACTCCCTTCCCATGGACTGCAGATCCATTTCTCCTCCACTGTCAATTTCCAGCAGTGTGGGGTCTTTTCCCATGGCAGACAGTCCTCTACAAACTCTTTTGGGCACAGGCATCTGTGCTCCAGCGTGGGGTCCTCCATGGGCTGCAGGTGGGTCTCTGCTTCACCGTTCATCTCCACGGGTAGCAGGGGGGCCGCTGCCATCTCACCACAGGCTGCAGGGGAATCCCAGCTCCGGCGCACCTCCTCCTGCTTCATCTTCACTGACCTTGCTGTCTGTGTAGTTATTTCTCTCAGGTCTTGGTCCTCTCTCTATGGGCCCAATGAACCTCAGCAGTCCCGGCAGGACAAACTCCAGCAGGTGCCCTGGGAGCAGGGCATTTCAGAGCTCTTCAAGCCGCGACGCTGTGGCCATCTCCAGACCAGTGGTGGTGGCCCAGAGCGGGCAGCTGCCTGCACAGGAGGCTGCGCAGTCCCAGCTCCCCGCCTCCCACCTCTCTTCACTGCAGGGCTTGCCTGGCTCCGGTTCCTTTGTCCCTGTCTTAAATAGGGCATTCACAGAGGTGCTGGTTGGCTTGGCCCTGGCCAGAGTGGAGAGGGGTCCAACCCAGCCAGAGAGCGGTCCGACTGGTTTTGGAGCAGGGGAAGCCTCTCACAGCTCTCTACAGGGGCTACCCCTATAGCCCCTCCTCTGCTACCAACGCCCCATCACATAAACCCAGCACAATCTGGTTCAGGAGAGCTGCATTCAAAAGCCACAGAAAAAGAGCAATTATTTTCTTCAAGTTTAGCTACTCAAACTAGGGTGGGGCTAGATGAGCACCAGAAGATTGACACAAAAGGGGCAGAAATTTGTCACCAGGGCCGAGAGAAAGACCACTTCTTTGCTCAGCAGCCAACCATAAGACCATCTTAACTGCATGATGAAAGCATATGTTTAGAGGTCATAGAAGAAAAGACAACAGTCTTTCCTGCTTACAACACATCACAACAAAATTTCACATTGCATACCATGGTTTATTTCCTACGCCTTTGACAGAGTAACAGGAGACATCCTGAAAAGTTACTCTTTTTGTTATTGCCAGATCTTGATTTCTCCAGCCCAACTACATGTTGCAAGGAGCGATGGCAAGACTGGGTGAAATACTGCACTCACACAAGCTTCTTTATGTGCAGACAAAGTGCGAATAATCCCAGCAGTATGATAGTTGTAGAAAAACACTTTGCCATCTGAACTTCCTGTCACCAGAAGTGTTCCATCTGGAGAAAATTCACAGCCCACTGCAAAACCTTCCACCTGCAAAAATCAATAACAGTGTCACTCCTGATGCTGATTAGAAAAGTTCATTGTGATATACTAAGAATGAATACAGTACACACGAAAAAAAGTATCTTTAAATAAATATACACTAAGGACTTCTCCAGGTGTTTATTAAGACACAGCTATAACACAAACTTATTTAATCAAGCTATTAAGTATTCATAAAGTCTTCTAATAACTATTTTCTACAAAGTGCATATGATTCAAAATAGACTGGCACATGGGAAAGCAAATTAAGCCAATTAATATCTATCACTGATTTATAATCAAACACTATTAGCAGATATATTAAAAAGCACAAGTACTTTGCTAGCTATCTTTGTTCTAGACTTGGATACTAAGCTCCCGGTGAAGAAGGATACCTTGTGTCCTTCATATCTTTTCTTTTTGTTGATTCTGTAAGGTCGCTGGGCAGAAAACAAAGCCATGTAGTTCCCATTTGTCTGAGCAATGAACACAGATTCTTTTGGGTGCAGAGCCAGACTTGGGCAAGTGTAACGCTCCTGAAAATAATTTTAAAGAAAGCTCTGTTGTATAAAACACTAGATTTATTCAAATGAATCAGGTTATCTTTTGACATATTTGAAAGACCATAAAAAGCAAGGTATACGTAAGTCATCTCCATAGTATACATTATATAAAGATACTTAACTCATTACAATCCGCTGAAAGTCTTACACCAAGACAAATACCAAATCAAATCTCTACTCCAATTTCTTAGATACTGACCAAAATCCCATCTCTCTCTGATCCATAATTACACTGCAGAACAACTGCAGAAAGGTAACTCCAACCTAATGGTACTCAATCATCCTCCTCCTGCCCAAGTAAACCTGAAGTTTGAATGTGAAAGTGCATCCTCTTCTCCCATATCCCTTCCTCCATAGCCATACCGTGCCTTCCTTCTACTTTGTACAGTTCTCAAATCCTCCCCCTCTCAGTTCTGGCCACAGTGACAGGAACAGAAATTAACCCATGTAAACAGACACCTTCCCCCACCCCTCTCTTATAAAAAAAAAAAAAGGGGGAAAAAAAAGGATCATTATTAGCCTAGTAAGTCAGAAGTTCCTTATGACAGTGATTTGCCATGTAGACTGCTGCTGACTGTAAATTCATACGCAAAAATTAATAACACTGGGCTTTACTCTAGTGTCCCTATTTAAGACTGAAATAAGATCACTTTCAAAACTCTGCATGGTGATTGCATCCGAAATCAACCACTCTCGCAAGGTTTCCACCAGGTCCAAACCTCTTCTAGCTTCAGCCTAACCTAAAGACACAGTGCTGAATTTTGATGCCATGAATACAAATTAAGAGAGATTTGGCTGTAGGATGCATAGGATGCATCTGCATGTGAAGGGCACCAGGCTGACATTGACCACTGGACACCACGGGCTATGTGGTAGTATGGGAATGGCTCAGGCTGTTTTTGTTACGTGGTTTGAAAGTGACAAACTAGGAGAGAAGTTCTGAGTGTTGTAAGGTATCGGGCACAGAAACGAAAACAGGGTTAGGCAGTGTGCCTGATTAGGAGTGTGTGCCGTGGCAGAGCACTGGTTGTTTCTGGGGAGAAACTGGGTCTAACAGTAAGGGATCAGAAAGCACAATGCAATCTGCAGGAGCACTGTGCTGTTATGCTGGGTATACTGTAGCAATGCATTATTTTAGAGCTCTTAATTATTCATTTGTTAATGCATACAAGCAATAGATCAAGTCCTGGTGGGACCTAATCTGTTTGGAGAGTTCAGTGGTTCTCTTCCACCTTAAAGGGTTCAAAAGGGAGATTCAGAAAAGTGAAGCACAGTTTCCAAAATCACTAAGTTTTGTTCACTTGCAGTGCAGAAGAGGGGGAAAACTGCTCATTTCAGAGATGTTGAAGTGGTCCAAGGAGGTAGGCTGTGTGGGTTTTTTGTTTGTTTATATGGTGGGGGATAAGGAGAAAAAAGCTGTTTGTTTTTCACTCCTTGATACTGAATCTGACTAGTCTGTACTTTATATATTCACAGTTTGTTTTTTTTCTCTATTGCCTATCCAAGATGTTGATAGATCCAATAGTGGACAGGGAGAAAACTATCAAAATCAAACATGAAACAATCCCATTAGATCATCAACGACATATCCTTGTTAGTAGAGAACTGTTCATTTCAGCCAAAAAGCATCTGTATACAATCCAATCATATTATATTACAAAGCATATTAGACTTGGGTTTTCAAAAAAGACCCAGGGAGTTGGAATTTTCTATTAACTTCCTTGGTAATCTCCTTTGAAGCTGTCAGCCTTTCTAGACAATTTAGTCCATTAAACATCTTGCCTGGATAGATTACTGAAAGAAATACTGCACCTGCACTGACAAAAGCAAATTTTGTCTCAGTGATTATGCCGTACTAGATATCTATATGCATGTATCAGGTTGCTATAACTATGCAAATATTAAACTCAATTTGTCAATAGCCCTCATTGCAGCTGATGAAAAATGTATCATTTCGCTGTCCTAGGAAAAGTGTGGGAAAAGAAACGTGGCACTCTAGCAACTACTTCCATGCACCATTGGCAAGCTAGAATGACACTGCAGTGGCCCGGCCTAAATATAGCCTAGATGTCAGTGAATGAGCACTGAAATGTAAATCCTTTTAACACAAGGAGACCTATCAGTCTTCAAGGTCATTTTTAAGAATAAGTAAGTGTTTATAAAATATAAAAATAAAGAAAACCCTCAACTTACATTAAGAGCATTTTATACACCACACTGATCTTACAGAAAATCAAAAGCTTTTTTTTTGCAACATTGACAAGCATGAAATACTAAATCATGACCCAAAAAATACTAGTTGTTAATCTTACGTGAAAAATCTGATTGGAGATTTTCGCAGCACTTTGGAAGTCCCATGCAATAATTGTACGATCAGCTGAGTCCCGGCTTACTGCATCTGTGCTCGTAAGAAATTCTCTTCCTTCAGGGAGAAAGAGTATATCCAATGTCTGTTGTACTGCAGCTTTGTACACCCTTAACACCTAGTGGATAAAAAAGTTTGTTATTTTTTTAACAGATTAGAAGAACATGATAATCTGTTTTCTCTCCAACAACTATCTCCAACAAATTATATATTATTTTTAAACGTGAAAAAGTAACTGATTTTTAAATGTTGAAGTACTAGTGCATTAGATAGCTTGTTAATGTATGTAAAGAGTCCACACACGGGAAAATTAAACAAGATTTTAAAAAGCATCAGTTTGCACAATTTACATATTATATTTATACACACATAAGATTCTGTTATAAATTCCCAAGGAATTAGAGTTAGATCCAAAAAGAGCTTTAGACCACACAATGTTGTGGAGCTGGGTCTACACAAACTCCCTTCTGTTTTATGAACTCAGAGCACTCTGAGGATCAGTCTGAAGATATCTCCTTCCTCCTTCCAGGAAACTTCAGAAGTGTAAGTTTTTGGTCTGTTCTCAAAATCTTCAGCTAGTTACAGAGGCAGGGAAAGGAAAGTAAGTAGGCTAGTGGGGATTTGGGACTTACAGGTACGAAAAGGACATGACAGGAAGCGAATATTCTTGTTGATCATTCTGGACTTAATTATAAATCACTGTTTATGATTGGGGATGACTAAACTGGATAATTCAAGGCTCTCCTGGTCCCATGTTGCTGCATGACATTGCTTAACTTGCAAGTGGTGAGACCCCAGTGTCAGGGGACCACACGGCAAGGGAGCAAAGTTTGCATGCTCAGACAGAAATTGCCTCCAGGCCAATGTGGACACCCTCAGCACAAGAGTGCCCCATTCAACCTGCAGAAGATACCTCAGTCCCATCAAGGATGCAGTCTGACACTCTCTCCTGAAAAAAGAAACCCAAGCAGAGTTTGATCTTTTGAAGTGCTGCCAGAAAGCAGGGGATAGAGGTGACAGGAGTGCTGCTGTCAAACAGTTCAGTGCTTTAAGGACTCAGCCAGGATCCTGCCTTTGTCTACGGAGATTCAATCCCATGACCTCCCAACCCATCTGCCTACAGACTGTCCTGGCAAGAGGTAGTCTCTGCTGCTTCTGTTGAAGCAGAAGCTTTTTAAAACTGTTACTCTGCTGAAAATGCAGGGAAGCAGGGAAAGAAAGTCATCAATACTTCCAAGTACATAAATAAAAAGGAAATACCAAAGTTCCCAAATTTTCTTCCAAAATCAGAACGACCAGGGTTCCCAAATCTAGATCCTCTTTCAGCTCTTATACCAAAGTGGGCTGGATCCATGCAGAAATGGGTCCTCAGCCACAGGATTCTGAATATTTTAGCAGCCTGGGAGTTGGATCTTAAAAAGTAAGAGATTTTGAACTATTCTTGAACTATTCTGAGGAATATATGAATAATTTGAATTTCCTTTTTTTTCCACTTTCTTCGTGAAATTCTGCATCTATATTGTCTACTTTAAATTTTGCAAATCAATACCTTTGCTTTCTTTTTCTCTGACTTGCCTTCAGTGAAGAGAAACCTCAAGGCAAGTGGCCAGATCAAAGCAATTTGTCTCTCTGAATATGGTGATCCTTAAAACTAGGACACTGGAAGACTCCGAGATACTAATATCTAAATCTCTCTCTCCAAGATAGCTAAAACATAGCAGCCTGCATTTCCTACAGAGTGTTCAGAGGTTAGTCCGTCTTCTAACCTCACTAGAAAAACCAACAGAGCAGAGAGAGTGGCTTGAAATATTATACTGAAACGGTTCCCAACTTTTAGGCATTTCAGTGTCTACCTTATACTCCTAACATAGCATATAACTATTGACTTCAGAGCTCAGATCTTTTACAGATACTGTAAGCACATGAATTTTTAAAAAAAAATAATTTTCAGGTGTCGCAGTGAAATATTCCAGATTATAACTCTGTTTTATACTTCAATCAATAAAATCAAAATCATTTCAAATATCACACACAACATGAGAACGTCTTGATTTCTTGCCTCAAGCTCAAAAATCTATGACTGTTTGGAAGTGTTCAGAACTAGCTGATCCTGCTTTAGGGTAGAGATATGCTAGATGATCTCCTGAGGTCCCTTCCAGCTCTGCCTCCTGTGATCTCGGCATGTAGAAGGATGGCAGCAGCAGCTGCTCCGATTGCTTTTCACAGGCTCTGCAAAATGCACAGTTCAGAAACGTGATATTTGCATTCAGTGAAGAACATCGGTCATGCAAGCATCCTACACATCCTGTAATAACACCAAGATCTAAACCTGCAGACTCAAAAAAACCTGGCACACTTTCCAGCAAATTGACTGCATTTTTAAGATAGTGAACACATAAATGTGTTACTTGCTCTCATCAGATTTTTCAGCCTAAGACTCTGCATAATATACAAAACAATTAAACTTTGTAAAGCCAAAAGTGATATTTGCATATTTATAGCCTCCACTTTGTCTATGGAGGAATCACCATGCATAGCTATTTCTTCTCAGAGTTAGAAAAGGAAGCCCATAGCTCACTAGTAATGTAGAAAATTAATCTATTTTGTAGGAGCAAAAATAAAACAAAAATCCCAATCTAAAAAAACCACCCACAAAATACAATAGCTGTCTGGAATGAGAAATGGAAAACCACACAGAAACCTGACAGTTGTAGGAACTGCAGGAGAACTGAAATAAAGTTAAACTGAGAGGAGGGGACATAAAAAGCTCTACCACCCCGACAGACTGAAGGAGGCTGCTACTTAGCAACAGGCACCTTCACAGAAGTGACAAGTCCCAACCAGAGAGTCAGGAAGATCAGAGAAGCACAAACATGTAGAAACAGGGACAGAGAAGCAGAAATAAAGGCCAGTTACTGCCAGGAAATGAAGAACAACATATAGAGCAATAAAAGATAATGAATTCCCAAAGCATGATTCAAGGGAGTGATTCTTTAATATTTTCTTATTTTAAAGATGAAACAAACTCAGACATACTCAGCTTCTAAAAAAACCTTGTGAAATATATGTACATAGGTATCCATCCATACGTTGTGTCCAGCATTGTTAATTGGTTAGGTTTAGGTCTGAGACTTGGTTTTAACACGTTTTTGGAGCAACAGACATCTCTCAGTAAGGAAAAATCAGAGAGTGTGAAGTTAGTAATGTGAACATACTTTTAATTTTTGCTGAAATCCCATTGGGCTTTTACATAAACTGACACTATAAATTTAAACATTGCCACTGTTAATCATTAAATATATTTGCTTGTCTTATTTAGAGGATATCTAACTAAATTACTTGTGTATCTTAGTCCTGCAACAGGAAACTGTCTTTATAAAAATTAGTACAAAAGACCATCTTTTTATATATGTTTGATTCATACCTCAGAAAAACTATGCTGTTTAATCTTCAAACCACATAGTAAGAACTGACTCAGAGAACAATAAATTAACATTTTGAATAGCAGCTGGGAACTTGATATACATAGTATTTAAATTCCCCCATAAAGATAGCTTTCAAAAATAACTAATTGCAACACCCCTGCTCAGAAAACTACTCATAATTAAACCTGCTTTGTTCTACCTTGGACGATTAATTCATGACATGCCTGAGGAACTTGGTTAGGGAGAGCACCAGTTTCCCTACCCTGTTGCCTTTAGTTTGTTAATAACAGCTTTTGCTCTTTTTCTATTTGCAGATTTACTACCCATAAGCATTGGAAAACCACAGTCCACTTCTTCAATCTCAGCATTTTCTGGACATAAAAGAAATCATTTCAAAGGAAGGCATAAGAGGTGTCAACACAATCCAACATAATAATAAAGCGTCTTCACTCAGGCAAGAGTTCATGGCTGCAGGCATTCGACAAGAAAGGTAATTTAAGCAAATTAAATCAGTTTCAAACAGATTCTTATGGTTCTGGTGATTTGAAAAGCATGCTGTGATGCTGAATGCAAGGTATATATTTCAGATGGGTGTTCTATAATACTTCTGTGCATAAAGCACATGCAATTTCATTATTTGTTTGTCAAGAAAGCTCAAAGCCTCCACACAAGCAATTCAGAAAATGCTACTCACCCCAGCTCTGTGCTGGTCACCAGCAACCTGCAGGTGCAGTGCACTCTCCTAAAATCCCCTCAAGCTTTATGCAACCGATGTCAAAGAAATGTGCTTTTATAGTCATTGTCCTGAGCATTAGGAGATAAGATCTCATAACAAATCTAATAGGACTACAGGCAATCTGGATGGTCATGAAATAAACCCTTGATCAGTCAGTGCTGTGGTTTCCAACCTGTAAAATGGCCGGGTTTTTTCTTCCACTTCTTGCCTTACATTTTAGATTGAGTGCTTTGGCATGAAACTGCTTCTTCCTACTAGCATGTTGGGTAGCTAATGCAATAGGAGACTGATTTAAGTTTCCTCTGTGAAACAGTACTACACCTATACTAGTAATAAAAAGTGTGTTTCAACATAAAAGAAAGCTTATTTTGCACAAAACAGAAGCATTTTTATCTACTGCAGTGCAAGCCATTTGTGTTGATCTATTCTACAGGGTAAGGTGTTGAGGCAGATGACTACTATTTGCTTTTTAGCTACATGTTCACAACCACATGAAAAATCCAATTAATGTCTCTGATCTCCATCTGAAAGCTATAATGGCAGTTTTAATCAAAACACATGACAATATCATAGACAGGAAGGTCAGACATGCTACAGTTTTATGTTCTTTTAAATCATTTTAACATATGATTGCTGTATTTCTCTATGTTATTGGAAAAAAATTGCTTTTCTATTAAAGTTTTTTCCTGTTAGTAATTGCTCTATTTTCAGACACAGCTCAAGATTACTGAGGGGTCCTGTGAAAAGGAAAGGGAGACTGACTAAAATTAGTCAGCTGTTGAGTTTAATCTGGCGTTGATCTATAAGACTTCAGGTATGAAGAATGTACACTGTTTTTTTTAAAAGTCCCTTTCAGATTGCTTGAGAAGACACAAGAATCTTGTGAAGGAAAGCATCAACCATTTATTAGAAAGGAAAAAAATATTTTTGCATCGGATTTTTTTGTTTAAAATTACC